TCCATCTTCAACTCCAGTCCAGAAAAAAACAACAACACTCATCTGGAAAACTACAAACATGCACTATTCAAAGCCCTCAGTGACGGGACATTGGCACACAGCTTGTTTTTATAATGAGGTCAATCTATTTGACACTTGAGCTGTATAAATAAAGGTTGGATGAATGAATGAATGAATGCTGCGCAGAGCACAGTAACTTTGGTCAGATGTGTTGGTTGTGCAACACTGTAAGCATTCTTCAACATTTATCTAGGATTCTTCCCAGAATTCAACAACAATAAAAAACATAACCATGCACAGGAAATGAACAAGAGTGAGTGGACAGTGTGAGAATTCATTGTTGGATTTCCAAGTAACAGTTTAACAAAGTTTACAGTTTAGAGGGGAGCTGTGTAAAAAGAGAAGGGGACTGTGCACCTTTGACGTCATGCTAAGTGTAGTCATTGTTTACTTCCTTTATATTAAACTTTTTTTTCTAAGATTTGGGCTGCATCTGAAAAAACAATTTCACATTATGTGCAGCAGAGTTTGTACAGATAACACCCAACCAGCTTCCTGAACCAAAGATGGACTCAAAGGTCTATTCCAGCTACGATGACACAGGGTTTTGTCAAATTTGTATAAACATTTATAATGGGCCGGGGTAGACAGCTCACTGATCCACTTCAGTTTGGAGAAATAGCTTGTTTCCGACAGGACTGATGAACTAATGGCTGGCCTGAACACAGCAGGGAACAAAGAACCTCACTGCTGGTTTAGAACGGTTCTAATTTCATGTCGGTGGCCTCAGATTCCTGCTCTGCTCTTTGCAGATGATGTGGTCCTGTTGGCGTCATCATGCTGTGATCTCCAGCTCTCACTGGAACACAGCCGAGCGTGAAGCAGCTGGGATGAGAATCAGCATTTTCAAATCTGAGGCCATGCTCCTTAACTCGAAAAGGGTGGATTGCTCTCTTCATTTTGAGGGTGAGGTTCTGGTTCAAGTGGAGGAGTTCAAGTATCTCTGGGTTTTGCTCATGAGGGAAGAATGGAGCGTGAGATTGTCCTAATGATTAATGCAGCGTCAGCAGTATTGCGGACTCAGTGCCAGTCTGTTGAGGTGAAGAGGGAGCTGAGCTGTAAGGCAACTCTCTGTTTACTGCTCAGTCTACGTTCCTACCCTCACCTATGGTCACAAGCTCTGGGTAGTGACTAAAAAAACGAGATTGTGGATACAGGCAGTTGAAATGAGTTCCCGCCACAGAGTAGCTGGACTCTCCCTTAGAGACAGGGTGAGAAGTTCAGTTATCAGGAGAGACTCGGAGTAGAACCGCTGCTCCTCCACATCCAGAGGAGCCAGTTGAGGTGGTTCAGGCATTTGGTAAGGATGCTCCCTGGGCGCCTCTCTAGGGAGGTGCTTTGGGCATGTCCGACTGGGAGGAGACCCCACGGAAGACCCAGGACACACAGGAGAGACTATGTCTCTCGGTTGGCCTGGGAACACCTTGGAGTCCTCCCAGAAGAGGTGACTATGGAAAGAGATGGTCTGGACCTCCCTGCTCAAGATGCTGCCCCCAAGACCTGACTTCAGAACAAGAGGAAGATAATGGATGGATGGATAGATGGATGGATGGATAATTTCATGTCATGGAGATTCATGTGAACTGTAGTTCATAGAACTTTATTTCATGGTTATTTGTAAGTACAACTGGTTTAGCCTGGAGTCAACTTAGGCAGCAATGTCAATATTTCTGCTGAATTAACCATAAAATACAAAACTGATGGTGATATAAAGGTTTAAATGATACAGCAGCAATCTATTTTGGTCTTGTCCTTGTTCAAACTAGCCATTAACTTGTCGTTTGCTCAAACTTTAAGTCAAGTTTTCCAAACTGAGGTTGTTCAAAGAGCTACAGAATCTGCATCAGGTAATATGTTGATTTTTCACAACTTATTTACAGACCCTATTTTAAAAATATTCTGAAATATCTCTAAAATATCCTGTTCAATTCTAAATGAGATAGTTATTAACCTTATGTGCCACCTCTACAAAAAGAAAAACAACCACCAGAGAGCATCTTTTCAGCCCTCTGTGTTTGTCTCCCTTGAACTGTTGGTGTGTCTGCTCACATAAAACACACATAAAAAAGCAAATGCCGACTTTGTCCTAATTTTAAAGTTGAAAACTGATTAAAACCTCTTTAAATGTTACTAAAACAACATGTTGTTAATGGTAAAAGCATGCTAACACAAGTGTTTAACAGCTGGCAAGAAGAATTTACAATGAGTGATTGTAATAAATCAAAGAACATTATCCAATGTTGGAAGGAAGCAAAACCAAACATGAGTTCTTTGCGGTAAATTGTGCACAGCTGTTTGACATCATCTTGAAAACCCTCGTTAAATTCAGCCAGCAACATCTGTAAGGACTCTGTTGAGAGTTTATACTTCACAAGAACTAATATTTTCAAACAGATTTACTTATGAAATCATGTGAAATATTTAGCTACTCCTAAAATGAAGTGTTTCACATTAAGTTGCCAAGTTTTTCACGAGCTAAAGTGAACAAAACATTTGTTAAGAGGATGAATCTTGTATTTTCATTCTGCTTTCTCCATCCTCCTCTCCCTGCCTCCCCTCCCTTTCTCTTGGTGCTCTGTGCAGACGGTATCTAAAATCTAACTTTGTATTGAATTTTAATGTGTTCAGAGCATCATCATCATTATCGTACAGATGTGTCCAACTTGTGCACCAAAGTCCTGGTCCTCAAGAGAGCGACCCACTGTGGGAGCGCGCAGCCTGTTTGAATGTCCCTTTGTGAACATCATGGTTTTAGTGCTTCAGTTCTTATAATGAAACAACAAAACCGTATATAACCCCAGATTACAACAAAGATGTACGTCTCTGTTTTACTTTATTTCCCCCCAAAACTCGCAAAGTTCTCTCTGTGGGAGAGTTAGTTCAGGTGTGTGTAGTTTATCATAAATATCAGAGAAGTTGTTTAACTTCACCACTCGCTCCCCACGAGATCGGATGCTTCTCTCCTTCCCTCCCTCTCTTCTTTGCTTTGCTGCTCTGTCTGTCTGTGAAATTGCTGTGAGACTCTCTTGCATTTCTTCTGAACCATAATTATGGACTTGTTTTGACCAGTTGGTCCCTCAACTCAATTTACAACATTTCTTCAAAGAGAAGACAGGCTTTGGGCGAACTGATTTACCCTGTTGGCACACACACAGCTGGATATCTCATCGACTGGAAAACTTGATGATGTGTCTATCTCTGCTGCCATCTGTGGATTTTAAGGACACATATTTAATTGGATTCACAATAACTGGTTCCTGCTTTTTGGATTCAGCTGGTGCTGGTTTTATCTACAATCAAGGAAGTCGTCAGCAGCAAATTTGGACCCGATCACGCTGCTTGCCTTTATGACGGCTTGGTTCATGTCTGGAGTACCCGGACTCAAATGCTTTGGGCTGAATGTATCAGATCTTGGGGATTTTTACTCAGTCACGTTCCATCGGTGTGGCCATGTTAATTTGGACATTTCAGAACCGAGTGGACCAACACAGACTCAAGGTTGATGTCATTAAGTTCTGCCTGTCCCCAAAACAACTGTGTGTTTATCTAAATTTTGGTCGCCTTGGCTGTCCTTGAAGGCCATCTTATCTAAAGTCGCCTGGAGAAAATGTGATCTGACGCTCACCACCCCCTCCCTGAGGAATTTCCAACTGATAACCAGATGAGCCAGCTGAATAAACTTTGTGTCATCATTTCAGGACTCTGGATTCTCATAGAGGTTATGCTTGGCCATTTCTCGACATACCTCGAGAATGTTTATGGATCTCACCGGAGGACATTGACTGATTCCAGTGACCTCGAGAGCACCTATAAGCGTTGTTGACCGCTCTCGTCTCCGTTTGCAGCATGTCTATGTCACTGTGCTTGTTTGTGCGAGGTGTTTTTTTAATATTAGAGGGTTTTTTTTCTCAGCCAAGAAAAAAGTCTGATAGGAATTTTTTTCGCCTCCAACTCCTACATGTGTCCAGTTAACCACTGTTTTTGTCTGTCCAAACAGGTCTCACTTGTAAATGAGTCTTCGAGGCTCAATGTGATTTATCTGTTTAAATAAAGGTTGAATGAATGAATGAAAAAAAGATGGAACAATCCACTTTGATTTTTGTTACTTTGGGACTAGTTTGTCACTCCTGTCAGATGTAAATGCTAATTCACCAAACTGAGCTCATTTTAAAGAGCTATTTATAACAGGTAAGATATTTATTGCTCATAACTTTTAGTTATGTACAAAGTTCATCAAGAGATATGTACTTGACGTATAACAAGTCCCCACAAAGATTAGAGCACCCAGATGTGATTCAGCCTGGTCACAAAGTGCACCTGCAGCAGACAGCTGGAGTCTGGAAGAAGAAATGTAACTTTCTCCTGAAGAAAGTAACTTTACAGTTCTGCAGTTCACTCCAGAGCTTCTCTCTCAAAATTAAATTGGTTCATTGATGCAAGAATTAGCGGCACTTAGTTCAAGCTCCTTAATTAAAACCAGTTTTGTTTCATTCAGAGTTCTCAGAAAGCACAGTTCAAAACACTGGGAGAATGTCACATTACTTTTTTTCATAACTTTTTTGATCTATTAACAGGCAACACAACAACATTTTCACTTCAATTAAAACAAACCTCTAGACTCAAATAAATAAAAGACTCAAAATGGTGAGTCACTGATAAAGTTTTAGATGGGAGCTTCAGGAAAAAAGCAGAACAATTAAAAAATATATATTTAGGCCCAGTCCAAGAACCTCCAGTGTAAAAATGTTTCAGTTTACTTCAGTGCTTTGTTAAAGAAAACCATCGAGATACCTGACTCGTGCACACCTGGATGTGAATCGGAGGTGCGAGGACACGAATCTGTGTAACCCCATCAGAGATGTTATTTTCATTTATGTGACATCCTGCAAACATTTAATTGCGGTTCAGAGCAACGTCAAATGAGAGAACAAGCTCCATACTTATGGAAGTCTTCGATGCAGTGGATGTGGTTGGAGGCGTCCACGGTGAAGGGAATCCCATCCAGGCTGCGGTGACACACCACGCAGGTGAAGCAGTGAGGGTGGTAGGCCTTTCCTGTCGCACGCAGGATGCGCTCCATGATGGGCTTGCTGCAGACGTTGCAGGTCTCCAGGGTGTTCTGTGGACAAACACACAGTTAGACAACAAAGCTAATGAGGACCACTCATCTCCAGCTGCTCTGTAAAAAACTCAGCCAGTAAACTTAAACCATGTTTTCTTGTTTCCTTCAAATTGGAGCTTTTGATTTGAAATGAATCAGCCTGCATTCCACTCTGCTCCCATTTTAGGATTTTGAACAAACTTTAGCCAAGGAGCTGTCCTCAAATGCCTCTGAAACTGAAGGAACCTGATTAGCAACCCCCCCACACACCCCATTTTCTAAAACCCAAACAGAGTCATTTTTCAGCTGCCCTCTCCAACACTCCATCCTGCCTTATGCAAGAGAGGTTTGCAGTAAATAGTTCCACTTTGTGATGACTGCAGGTTTTCTTCTGCCAGGCGGCTGGGCAAGCAGCCTGTGGGTGGTTGGGGGGGGGGGGGACGTGGCTGCTGCCCCCCTCTGACTTATCTGTGGCATCTCTCTTCTTAATATCAGCACAAAGATGCCATTAGTTATTTCAATATTTCATAAATAAGCAGTGCCTCTCCATACGGCGATGCTGTTACAGCAGGATGGATGCATCACGTGAGGGTGATCAATGTGCGGCCCGATGAGACCGTGTGTGTGAGCTGATGGGTCCTGCTGTTGCTGCCTCTCACACAGGCATTCCCTGGATCTCTGTTGTCCCCCCCCCCCCCCCTCTTATTCTGCGCTTGGCTGGGCTAAAGAGTGCACGGTTCAGTTGCTCCCATTGGCCCCCGCTGTAGTAGCAAGCTGCCTCAGTGTTTCCAAACACGGCTCGGGGTGTGTAGCAACACTGCGCTGCGTCATCCGCTGCCTCCCAGATGTGCCGGCGGGCCCTGACGCTTAAAATGACACTTATGTGACCGCTCTGCCGAGGTAAAACTCCCAGCATGCCCCTGTCTGGGCTGCAGCTCACGCACTGACAGTCAGAGTTAATATGCTAACGAGGGGTGAATCTCTCTTTTTTTAAGCAGGCTGAAGCTCATTGAGATCAGGGCTGCACAGGAAAACAGCCCCTGATATGAGTGTCACAGCACGGCGGAGGGTGAGAGGGCAGCAGAGAGGAGCAGCTGATGTATGACTCCGGGCTGGAAAAGAAAGTGCTTTGAAAAACGGCCCTTTCTTCAAAGCACTCCTGGAGAGGCAGTATTTCATGAAAAGCAATGTGTGCAGACAAGCTCTGCACCCCCCCCCCCACTCCACTCCCTACACCCCTCTCCTCCAAGACGGTAATAGAAATAAACATTATTCCCAGGGCAACATTTGTGTATAAACAATGTCCATATCGCAATCCTGCACGATCCTGGAAGTGGGATAAAGCCTTTAATGAGCTCGCTGCTCCGAACCCTTGAGGTTTGCCTCTTGCACACATACACACAGAGAAGCAGAGATTGGAGGGGTGGGGGGCGAGCGGGAGAATGGGGGGGGGGGGGTGCATATTTGCAACTTGAGAATCAGAGTTAGATACCAGGGCCAAACAGCATAAAACCAACGACTCATCTGTCTGCATTTCTACTTACTTATTCTCATCTGGCTTTCACGTGGGAATACCTTGCCCTTGTTTAGCTTAACTAGAGCATATGATTTCACAGCACACAGTTCCTCCGGGCCACTGTAATGAGTTCACTACTCAAAAGACAAAAAAACTTTATCTTTTCCTCTCTTATGGTGAGGTTCCATGACCTCAATTCATTCAGTCTGCTCACTTCCTGTTGCTTTGGCTCGGGACTCCTTTTGTTTGGGATTAGCTAACATTTATTTGCTCTGTTCCACAAACCCCAGGTCTGATGTCAAGCAGAGACTGTGTGTGTGCTCTGGTCCAGGGTTTGGATATCTCAGTCCGTGCTTTATCCAGATCCTCTGCAGTTTGCCACTAGAGGGCTGTATACGTCTGCACATGCTGCCATGTTGCTCTTCCTTCACGGGATGTGATGTATTCAAGCATATGTATTCCCTTTTAACCCCTCCTCCCCCTCCAATCTCCCTCCTTCATACATTTGTGTAAGTGTTTGCCCAGAAGGCTAAACAAATGTCTAGGCAGATGAGGTAAAGTGAATTTAGGTCAGACAGCCTCCTGCTGAACCGAAGGGTGAGCGAAGTGCATTAGAGTCAATTGTAGCTCTCTTCTTGCTTTAAACTGTCTCCTATTTGAGATAAAGTGCTTTCAGAAGCACGAGCAAAACCTGCGTGGTCCGGCTTGGCTTCTTGGTGTTTGCTAACGGGTTCCATGACAGAGTTTGATGCAGTTGGCTGTGAAAATAACGATTGTGATAGGAAACAAAGCAAGCAACAAAGTTGAGAAGTCCCATGTGCTTTGAACGCAACATGACACAAACATATATGTATATGTATATATAAATATATATATATATATATATATATATATATATATATATATATATATTTATATATATGTTTGTGTCATGTTGCGTTAAAAGCACATATGAATTCTCAACTTTGTTGTTTTT